AGCCAGATCTGATCAGAAATCTTATTATAAGTTGGATTTTTGAAAACAACAAATATATAAGCCCTGCAGCTACAGCATTTTGGCTAATTTGTTAAACTGGATTTACATCTTTTAGCACTTAGAGTTTTCACTGTCAAACATTATTGTTATAAAGATACAATGTATCAAATTCGTTGGTTCCTAATTGCCTATTCTTAGGAGCTCTAATTGAATTTTTTCCTTCTGTGCCCCCCCCCCCCCCTTTCGATTCATTATATACATGTACCAAATGATGATCTACTTTACATACTGCTTTTCAATTTTTAAATGTACCATTAATTTTATGCATGTATGTACTTAGACAAATGGAGAGAGTATTATAGGCATTTATGCCTACTGTTCAATCCAGTTTATGTATAATTAATACATTTTAAACTAAACCACTGCTCCTCTGGTGAACCTCCTTGGCCCCAATTTACATGGGGGCAATAAAGGCAACATTGACAAAAATGAATTTGTAGATTTATCAAAGAAAAAATGATAAACACTCTGTAATAACCTTCTCTGAAAACGAAAATAAACAATATTCTTGAGTGGGGGTAGTACTTGCTAAAATTTGGAATCAGATACCTTGTGTTATTTTTTCATATATGTATGTAATTTTTATAATCAAAATACATGTACGTGTCTTTTGGAATTCTTTTTGCTATTCTTTTAATTGTCTACCAGAGACATTTATTCCAAGAAACAGACTCAAAAAAGAACAATAAAAAAAAGCAACAACAAAACACAACAAATTTACAAAAAAAAAAAAACCCTGCAATTTCGGTAAGAATGAAACCAAAAATAACGTGGTTTAATCTAAGTTGCTAATTGATCTAAATCCATATTAATATATTGATCAAAAGCTCTCCAAAGCTTTTGCTTTACGTTTACATAAAACCGAATTAAAATAAGATTTCTGATCTGATCTGGCTTCCGTAGATCTGTATACACCAGGTCTTCATATTTTCTCAAAAATAGTAATTTGTTAAATCAAATTACTAATTTTACGGAAGCCCAATTAGGACCTATCAAAAATATTTTTGAATTCGATATAACGAATTGTCGAATTTGTTATAACGAGTTTAATTCGTTATAACAGTTTCTTTGAATTCATTATAACGAATTTAATCTGTTATATCAAATTTATTGAACTCGTTATAACGAATTCAAAAATTTGTTAAAACGAATTAAATTCGTTATAACAAATTCTGAAACTTGTTATAACGAATTAAATTCGTTAAAACGAATTCTCTAATTTGTTATAACGACTTAAATTTGTTAAAATGAATTCGACAAATCGTTATATCGAATTCATATATATTTTTCTATATGCCCCGATTGTTGAATTTGATTTAACAAATTAAATTCGTTACAACGAATAATGTTATAACAAATTTTAGAATTCGTTTAAACGAATTTAATTCGTTATAACAAATTTTTGAATTCGTTATAACTAATTCAACAAATTTGTCAATACAGATTAAATTTGTTATAACGAATTCAAGGAAATTGTTATAACGAATTAAATTTGTTATAACAAATTCTACAATTCGTTATATCGAATTTGAAAATATTTTTTGATAGGTCCTAAATGGGCTTCCGTACTTATTTGTTATAACAAATTACTACTTTATTATATCAACTTAATAATTTGTTATATCAAATTACCAATTTGTTATATCAAATTATTAATTTGTTAAAACAAATCATTAATCTGTTATATCAAATTAGTAATCTGTTATAGCAAATTAATAAAAGATACTGCTGCGGCCCTAATACGCTTCCGTAGGTTACGGTGATAATATGAGATCCGGACATCCACTTATAAAACTTATCTAATATTTACAAGCATTTGTTATAAATTTTCTTTCTATTTTTCTATTTTCTATTTGTTTTTGTTTTTACAGTAATCAAGACTAGTATTGTTAGAGCAGGATCTCTTATACTAAGCAATATAGACATCCCACGTACGTGTACTTACCCCCCCCCCCCCCCATTTTTTATCAGATTCCAAAAAGAAGAAATCAATTTGAATAAATCTGTATTAATGAGAAAAAAATAATAACAAAATGACAACACTGCATACCAACCGTTGCTGTTGGTGGAAGCTTTAAATTAAAACATAGCAGTCTGGTTGTTTTTACTTTTAAATAATAAAATTCTTAATATTCAATAAAACATGGCAATTTTTAACTGCTTAGAGACATAGTGATATATCTTTAAAAATTTTAAACACTGAAAAATTAAAATGATGTAACATATGCATTTGACAGAAATCAATATTCTGAATCAATGTTTTTGATTGGTACATTGAATCCAAGACGGGAACTAACATTACAGCAAAAGCCGGAACCAAAATTATGATTCTAAGGTTTCGGAATATATGACACCGGATCCAGGGGCTCGTAACATTAAGCCTGCTAATATTTTGACCTAGTACGTAGGGTCATTAGTATGACTAACTTAAGACAGTCTTAGGACTTGGCTAGGTATTGCTTAAGTATGTCTTACGCCGTATCATAAAGCGAACTGAGCGAGATCTTACCTATAAGTCAAACGTGTTCACTAAAGTTCTTACGAATCGCTCTGTTTTTTCAATATACATGTATTCTCATATACATGTGTACACTGTATCTTTAAAAGATTCTGTTATGTTTTAAAAAAAAATTCTACGTGCTTTCTTACCAGTTACGTATAGGTTAAAGTAGATTCTTTGTATTGAAATTAGAAATCTGTTAATTTAAGATACATTGGAGTCCGATCCCCAGGTTTTGAAAGTCAGGCATTGAGTAATTGAAAATGCTCTCAAAAATGTATCTGAATTCTTTAAGTTAAGTGTATTTACCCATGATAATTCTTCAAACTTCATCATTAAAGTTAATCATTATATAGGGAAAACTATTAAATCTCAAATAGATTTTCAGGAAATGCGAATAAAAACACCCGCTATGCATTTTCTAATTGATCAACAAATATGTTTTAGGATAAAAAAAAAAAAATAGGAATCCAGGAATTTGGAGAAAATTGCTTTTTTTATATACCTATACAGTATGTTAGATTTCTATCTATTTCAACTGTTATATAATACATAGTGTAAAAAGCTTTTGCTATCATTGCAAAACATCATAAATCACTTCTAATTTCATACCATGCTAATAAACATTGGTACATGTATCTATAGCTAGATTAAAGGAAGTCTGATTTCTCTAAAAATGTTTTTTTTTTAATTTTTGTACTTTTATGGGATACAAACTTTTAACAAGACCGTCTCTAAGACTTTAATGAATCTTGAATCATATTAAGATGCATGAAATGAAAATTGTTTCTCGAAATTATTTCAATTTGGACTTTTTAAGTTTAATAATAAATGTAAGAGTTATCCTTCTTGGTAGAGGAGTGGATATCCTTAAATATAACCTTGAAATTTTAAAATAATTACAGCACACAGGTACATTTGGACATGATAAAAATACCCCGGGTCTACTTTTTTTTTTAAAAGTTTGTTTCGTTACAGAAATTATTCTAACGCAATTCTCAGTTTTTCTGAAATTGTCAAATCTTGGCTTTTCGTGACGGTCTGAAGTCCTATTTAAGCATGGTCTTAGATTTAAGTACTCTTTATGTTGCAAACTCCTGGATTCTTTTTAAAAGGGGGTGGGACTTAAGGTTCCCAATGAGAACAGTACAAATTCCTTGTAGAAGCCCAGGGGACAAAGCTCCCAGAGGCTCCCAGATTTTAGCTCATGACCAGTTTTTGAAAATTCCCTTGTCTAGGCTGGTTCCCTGTCCCTGTCATGCTTCGTGTAGTCCGCGGCACTTTCACTAATTAACAGTTTTCAATTAGTAATGTACTCATTGGCGATTGAAAATTGGTAATTAGTGAAAGACACAAGGATGAGCAAGGGAACCAAGCTATCCCGTGTCACGGCAGGCGTTGGCACGATAAAGAATCCCCACTGCTCAATGGCCCTAATTGCCTAGTAAAGGTCAAAATTTGAAGCCCTTCACCGGTATACGGTGACGTCTCTTATGAGTGAAAAATTCTCCCAAGGGACTTGAATCAACAATCATTTAACATAAGGTTTTGAGTCACAAAAAGGGGGAGGAGGCTCTAAATCCGCCACTGAAACACGTTCAATTCTAAACACAAGAAATATTAGAGAGATGTATTTTGTGTTATTTCTGAATTTCTACCAAGCACGAACAAAAATTTCCTCCAAAGGTTTGTGATCCTTTTGAAGTGTGTGAACGTGTGAAACTTACCTGGCGTCATAGTAAATATGTCTCTCTTTTGTTGTGACTGGAAAAAAAAGGAAAAATAAATCAGACCCAAACATAAAAAACAGGCATACATCAATAAATAGCACTGTTATTAATAAGAAAGGTCATTATATCAATGCAGTCACTTTTCTGTTTATAATCATGCTAAATAGTCCATGCCTTTACAAAAATGCTTCCTGCTATCTATAAATAAAAGAAACCTTACTGAATTAACAGAGATTGAAATAAAAGCTCTGATCTATTTTAAATCAGCGTTCACAAATATCAAACCTAACAAGCATTAAAAGATTTATAAATAGAACCGTATACCACTTGAAGATTTTACTGCTGATTTATGCCCTTACTTTCAAAATGACTTTTATTTAAAATTGCCCCGTAGCTTTGAAAATTTGCTTTTAGAACTTTAAAGTATATTGCCTTTTAAGGGTCGATTTATGACGCAACAACCCTAAAAAGTGTCTTTAATTCTTTGGCCCAGCATGAATAGATTTGCATGGTACTTTACAAAGTCAGGTATTTGGTATTTCAAAAAAAACCGTTAAAAGTTATGATAGGCCTTTTGACTGAAAGATACTATAAGGTACAATAAATTATGTGCCGTTTCATGGGTGTTTGTAATTTTTTTGAAATGTGTTTTATTTTTTCAGAGAGAGAGAGAGAGAGAGAGAGAGAGAGAGAGAGAGAGAGAGAGAATGTCTTTCATGCATGCATAAAATTGAACATTCACCTTGCTAACAATTTAAATGAGAGTTTACTTGGGCTTTTCCTTTTGTAATTTTGCAAAAAATATTCAACACAAGATGCAGTAAGGAGACACTCATAAGATTTCTATCTTTATTTCAAAAGACTGACTCTAAATTGTCTCTACCGTTTATATGTATATCTATGTTTTTTATTAAATTTTAATACGGAAAATCTTCATTTTTTTTTTAGATTAAAAGATAGTTTTAACATGCCCAGTTTGAGTCAAATATGGTAAAAAATATTAAAGGTCAACTGTTTCATGCTACTTTCATCTCCGTAACGTATTGATCGATCGTAAAATATTTTACGTACTTTTGCCCATTTTATATGAACAATGTAAAAAAGATAGGCATTAAATTGCATTCATTTATTTTTTTAGCGTTCTATTATATGGAGGATAAAAGTTGCAATTATTGCAGAAAATTTTTGCATAACCCTTAACGCGGGTTACATGTATATATTTGTTCTGCAATGTGCAACTATTTTATCCCTTATAACACAACAAATATAGCATTTTGTTTAAGTGATTAACAAAGTAATATTGAAAATTGCTTCTTTTTTTTTTTTTTAAAAATGAATCATTAAACGGTATGCATAACCCATCAGTAATTCTTGAGCACATATTACATAGAAATATGTAAGCTTGTACCACATACGTGAATTCTAACAAGAGGCCCATGGGCAAAAACGCTCACCGGAGTCCCTCTACATCAGCAGATTTTACCCCTATATATTCCTATGTAAAACTATGATCACATATTGTTGCTACACCCTACCCCCAGGGTCATGATTTGAACAAACTTAAATCTACGCAACCTGAGGATGCAATCATATCAATATGACTAATCATAGCTTTGTGAAATTTGTTCGCCCGTTTTGGACCCATCCCCCCGGGGGTCATGATTTGAACAAACTTGAATCTACACTACCTGAAGATTATAAAACTTTGATGGCCCATTGTGACCCCAACTTATCCCCAGGGTCATGATTTTAAGAAATTTGAATTTTCACTATGTAATGATGCTTTCACATCAGTTTTATCTCTTCTGGCCAGTTGATTCTTGAGAAGAAGATTTTTAAACGATGCCATTAAATTTTCACTAATTCTTAATTGTTTCGCCTTGAAAAAGGCGTGGTCCTTCATTTGAAGAAACTTAAATCTCCTTTACCTAAGAATGCTTTTTTTGGTTAACTTGGCCCAGTGGTTCTGGAGAAGAAGATAAAATTGTGAAAAAATTAAGAGGACGACGACAGACAACGGACAAATTTCGACCAGAAAAGCTTACTTAAGCCTTTGGGTCAGGTGAGCTAAAATGATCGTAGCTAATAAATTATATGTCAAATTGTTTATTTTTTATGTCATCTGAGACAATCCGTAGTGCGTTGTCTGTCGGTCGTAAACTTTAAAACTCTGGTTTAACGAATCTTTGGTATATGGCATCTTTGGAAAAGGGGAAATAATTGTGAATTCCGTGGTCTCTATCTCCATGAGGCCTAAGGTTGGACCAAAACTATCAAAATGGATGCAAAATTTAAAAATCGTCTTCACTTCTGGACATCAAGCAGTCAAACTGTTTACATGAATTTAATAAGTAATCAGCCTTCTTCCAAAATTGTAAAATTCATGGCTCTTTTGTTTAGGGTTCAAGCTCCAGGGTTTAGCTATAAAATCTTCTTAATTCATTGACAGCAGCAAATTGTTTGCATTATTATAATGAGTATACTCGACCTTTTACTAAAATAGTGAACCCCTTCCCCCCGGTCCATGGTCCAGGCCCTAGGGTGGGGCTTAGTTGGTCCTATATTGATAATATATTACATCATTGAAAATATTCTTTTACTCATTAACATTAAACAGGCAATATGTTTACGTGATTATGATGACCTCGTAGTAGCCTCCTACCAATTTGTGAAATTCAAAGTCCACTTAATCCCATGCGCGGATCTAGAGGGGGGAGGGGCCCAGACCCCCTGGAATTTGCAGAGTTATGAAAAGTATATACTGAAGCAAAAAATGACTTTGGAACCACCACGCCCCCTTTAGAAAACGTGGACCCCACCATTACCATCACGAAATAGGTGTATTTTACGTTTGGGAAATGGATTTTACGCTTTTTTTTTTTTTTTGGCTTGTCAAAAAATTTTCTGGGTTTAATATGTATGGGAAGGGAATTAAGGTTTTATTATTATTATTATTTTTTTTTTATTTATTAATTTAATTTCTTTTTATTTTTGCTTGTCAAGAAATTTTTGGATTGGAATTGTTTTTTTTTTTCGCTGGAATGGACGCCCCCTGACAAAAATTTCTGGATTCGCGCCTGAATCCTCTACTGAAATTTTGAAATTCATGACCCCCGGAACCATGGTTTGGACCCTATAAGGTTGCTAATTAGATCATATATTGAAAAATACGTAAAAATGTTGAAAATCTTTATTCATGGACATGTATCAGGAGAAATGTATCCATGATTACAATGAGTATTTAACCCTTTACCAAAATATTAAGTTTGATGCCTCCTGGGTCCAGTGTTCAGGCCCCAGGGTGGGTTGATCAAGTAACAAATTTGAAAATAACTTACACATTTTGAAAATCTTTACTTTAAATCTTTAACATGTAGCAGGCAAATTATTTTAATGATTATAGCTATCCCTCTACAAAGAATGTATGCCTCCTGGGACAAAGAATTATGTCCCCTGGGGGTGGGGAGTAAATTAGTCGTATATTGAAATTTGATATACCATGTGTCTTATCTTCTTTACTCCGAACTTCTAGGAGACAAGCTGCATATGATATTAGTAATTACAAAGTCTTCAACAAACGGTAAAATTTTTGTCACCAGGTCCAATTGTTCCCACAGGGTGCTCATAGCCTGAAAAAGCCATGATACTCAGGTGACCGTCAAGGCCTATAGGCCTCTGGTTTGATAGACTTATAAATGCTTACCTGAACATTGGCATTGGCAGCTTGAAACTTTGAAACATCAAAACTTCCTACACTCTCACGCTGAAAAATATATATATTTATCGAAAATTATTGCAGATGTAGCAATGTATATTAACAGTAATTAGCTTATACAGTGTATCCTCGCATTTTATTCCCGGAATATGTTAAAGAAGATATTTTGAAACATTTCTAGGAATTAAGAGCTCTTACAACTTTTCAATGGATGTTATGAAATATTTGTTCCAAAGAGGGTGACAGTTCAAGGGAGCAATTAAGTACAAAATAAAAACAAAAATGAATGAACAACAAAGCAAGAATAAGCGGACGGCTATACAGTCGCCCCCCTCGTTTTGTTGCCCTAGTATTTTCGCTCCTCTGCTTTGTTGCTCTAAATCCCTCGCGTTGAAACTTCCTGGCCTTACTTTTGAGAGACACCTCACCTGAACATACCGTAATCATATTACATACTGATCATCTTACAAAATACCTTATACCAAATACTTGTACCCAATGAAACAAGAGGTTGTGAAACTCGGAAACATCCCCCTAAAAGCCAAAATAGCCCAACAACAACCATTGGTGACTTCTAAGAGTTGTGCAACTTAAACCATCATATTGAATCAGTACAGGAATAAAAATAGCAAATTAGTGGAAAGAAATTGACAACATACAGAGTTTAGTCTATATCATAGTGGCTGAGACCTACCGAAGTGAAATTTGATTGGCAATTCCGAGCGCCTGCCATTTCCTGGAAGAAATGCTATGTTTAACCAGAGACTTACAGACTTTTCACGCGTTATAGAGCCGCGCAGTTAATTGTATAGATATTGATTTCTCTACACATAAGTTTGAGTCGATGCTACAACTATGGACTAATTTTCCATAATTATCATCAGTCAGCTTCACATTACCTTAACAGATTGATGTCCAAAATTGATTAAAATAAGACGTCATTTTAACAGAAATTGATTTATAAAAACTGACCTTTGATTTACCTTTGGTATTTGTGTAATCACTGAATTTATATACATCTCTAAAAATGCTCGAATAAAACAGTTTTCAAAACCAGAACACAAGACTCGAATATATTTGATATAAATACAAACTAAAAATACTGGTATAGTATACCAAAGCTTAAGTCTTTTCTTCGTATTACTTCAGAATTCAATGCCATACATGTATTGATAAACATGTAATTGTATCCTACTAATAATTTATGTTTAAAAATAAAATAGTAGCTTTTTTTCTCCTACCCTGAAATTAAAAAGGAAACTTTTTCTGGTCAAAGATCAAGTCATAATGGTACATGTACATGTATAAGCATATAGTTTTCTGATGGCTCACAGGCATGGTAAATAAATTTAATATATGCCTTGATTAAAGTTATTTTTAAGCTATTCTTGAGCATCATTTATATGAAGAAAAAAAGGAGGAAAAATTCAGGGTAAGACAGAATGTCTTTCTTCGTCGACAGGATGAGATCCTTGATAAGGATGGGTTCTGCAAAACTGGTGGAGATGAGTTCCTCTATATTTTTAAAATTTAACTGGGAAAGTGAAATATCAAAGATGGAGAACTAGTTGTCGTGTTCTAATTTTTGATTTTACAGCCACCATGCAAGGAAAATTTAAATATTTAAACGACTTCCATTCTACTGAAAATCCTTCTTAATATGGGATATACATACATTTCAATATTTGTAACCAAATCACCAAAAAAATATGTAATTCTAATTAATTCTAATTGAACACGGTTATACCACATATAATATATGTAGCCTAAGCTAGTTCCTTCAAGAATTTATATAATTTCAATTCAAAGTGTAGTTTTAAGTCATAAGAATTAAGAGGCCCATGGGCCTTGACGGTCTCTGAGAATCAGTTTCTCAAGAAATGGCCATTTTAGCCCCATTCCAAACTGCGACTGTAGGCTGGCCTCTGAACCCGGAGAAAGGAAGTTGAATTTTTGTAGAGGGCTAGCTGCTTCTTACAATCATTTCAGCTATTTGCCAGCTGGATGTCTGTGAGTAGTCGAAAATATTTTAAAATGTATTTTCAATGCAAGACCAACTAGCCCTGGGGGCTTAAACTATGTGCTAGAGATCCATGAATTTCACAATTTTGTTAGAATTGTAAGTTTTATTATAATCATGGAAATAATTTGCTTGTTAGGAGTCTGCGAGAAAAAAGGGATTTTCAAAATGTATTTTCAAAGTATTAATGTATTTTTAATGAAAGGCTAACTTTACCCACCCCTGGAGCTAGAATACCGGAAAAAGTAGCCATGAATTTTAAAATTTTGGTAAAGGTACTTATTGTATTCATGCAAACAGTTTCTTTGCTAGATTTCCATGCGTAGAAAAAAATTATTTTCGAGAGTGTAATTTATTTTCAATGTATGAAGAACATAACCTGTCCTAGAGCCTGAACCATGTGGCCCGGGGGGGGGGGGGGGCATCATTTTCAAAATGTTGATAGAGGGCTTGTTGTTTATTATAGCGGTAATCATGGAAATAGTTTGCCTGCTTAATGTCCATGAAAAGAAAAAAATGTATTTTTTTTAAAATATATTACTATCTAATCCACATCATACATGTTATTTGGAATTCAATGAATTATTCTTGATTTATTCTTAAGATTTTTTATAAAGGGAAGTTTCAATTCTGTTTTCTTTGCCGGAAAAGCATTTTATTATAAATGTTGGAGATGAAAACTTTAAAATGTCGGGAAAGAAAACTACAAAATGTCGGAAATGAAAAGTTCAGTATTTTAAAAAATTCCGGAAATGAAATGCAGTCTTCAGTGTATCTTTTCAAGATGTGCAGGAGTAGAGAAGAAGATCTCTACGATTAAATTCATTTTTACTGTATGACTATTTTGGCCCTGCCCTTATAGCAGAACCCCTGCCCTTGCAAGGAGTCATGAATTTCACAATTTTGGTAGAAAGCATCATGCTCTTCCTAACCACGTGTTCAGTTTACATTATAATCAAGATGAATTATGCAGGAGAAGTGTAGAAGATTTTCTAAGATTAAATACTTTACACTATGACCATTGTGGCAGGTAATGAAAATCACAATTTTGGTAAAGGGCCTTGTCCTCTTCCTGACCATGCATTCAGTTTATCTTCAAGATGTGCAGGAGACGACAAAGATTTTCAAAGATTAAGTACATTTTTAATGTATAACCATTTTGGCCCCGTTCTTGTAGCAGAACCCCTGCCCTGGGGGTCTTGAAAAACACTAATTTTGCTAGAGAACCTCATCTTCAAGATGTGCAAGAGTAGAGAATTTTTGAAGATTTTGAAATTTTTAGTAGATTTTTCTTTAGTTTAGTTTAGTTTAGTTTTTTTTTTTTTTTTTAATTTTTTGTTTGTTTGTTTCTTTTAGTTTTGTTTTTGTTTTTTGCCCAGCCCCTTGAGTCTCAGGGGTACAATGATTACGAACATGCTTCATATCAAAATTGAAGACAATTGGCCAAAAAGTATTCAAGAAGAAGCTTTAGATAAAATATTCAATTGTTACAACGGCGGACAAAGACCAATCGCAATGACTTAGGAGGCCAAAAAAAATTAATAAATATACCTGAAACAGTAGAATATTAGGGGAAAAGAGAGCAAAGGTAGTTTCCGTTTCCTTAGCAGTTAGATAACACCATAATATGATAATGTAGAAGGAAATCAAGGAATAAAAGGAACTGTCTACTGTAAACAATCCTTATTGCGGCATTTTATTACCGACCTGTAATTCTGCATGGTCACGTAACAATCGAAAGTTTTTTTGTTTCTTTTTTTTTTAAGAGAAAAAAATAGGGTAGGGTTCCCCCATAATGTGACATTGGTCAAAATCGTCGATTTAGATTTATGGTCATATTTTATTAAATCATTTTAATGATTTATCTCCTGTTAAAATAGACCATATATTATTAAAATGCTACTGGTATAAATGACGCGAAAAATGTCAAATTAGTATTGACTTAGTAAACCCCACTCAGTGAAAAGAAATAAATCGAGTATAAAAGTTCGATTCCTGGTCTTATTTTTCTAGACGTTAAGAATGTCATTAACTCGAGCAAATAGACAATTCTTGAATACGTCTGTTTGAAAATCTGCCATATATTCAGTGACATTCTAACCAAAGTTGACAATACATGATGTTAAAATGTCTCTCATCTGTACTTGTGTGAAATCAAGAGTGTGACGCTCTTGTGTAAGTAAGAATACATATTTTAATACTTCCTAAGAATCATATTCAAATTCAGTAGTTATAATTTTGAGAACCGTGGTCCGGAATTCTGAGTTCCAGGTACGGACCGGGATTTTATTGGATACCATGGTTCAAGCTCCTCTTTACGATGTATTTACTACTGTCATTTTGGCAGAAATCAAGAATTTTCGCCGATTTTTAACGTCTATTAAGTAGAAAGCAAGTATTCTGTCATTTAGCCTCAAAATCAAAGATTAATTACATAAAATAACTTCTCTTTTGCCAGTTGCGAACCGTATGATTAAGATATTAGTAATTTAATATATGAATTTAATAAAATTACATTAATGCTGAAATTTTGTAACATGCAAAAAATATATATATTCTATTAACTTGTATATTCAGCATTATTCAGATAAAATAAAGATGGATGTAGCAGTTTGCGAAGTATGTTTTTTTTAATTCATCTCCTAAGAAGGAGGTCGAAAATTTGTGTCCTGGAACTTAGCAGTTAGTCATTCTCTCAAAGAAATTAATTATAAATTCACGTGCTTTACATTTAGGTTAGAAAAGTGCAACTGAGCACGTAGTTTGGTGTACATTTTGTTCTTTGTGATATTTCGTAACTGAACTTAGTATACAAAAAGGGGAAAGGGGCGGATACAGCACTATGTTGTAGTTTTCTTATGCTTTTCAGCTAAATGTAATTACAGGTAAACTTTGGTATCTCGACATCGGATATGTCGACAACCTGGGATATGTCGACGTCCGTCCGCGGTCCCGGCAGTATTTACTATATAAATGATTTGCAAAAACTCTGATATGTCGACCTCGGTAATCTCGACAACCCTCGACA